TTATTTGGACAAAACGTATGTTGTAGAATAAATAAATCTGAATATTTTAGGTATCTTTTAATACAGAAATGTTCATTCAAATTTAAATTTACACAATTAATAGTTTCTTGTTTTTATTCTCAAAGTTATCTTTTGATTTAACAAACACAATAACATAAGGAATTACAATTTATGTAAGAAAGAACAAAGACAAAATCAAAATTCTCATCTATGATAAGCACTTCAGCTGTATAGCAATTTAAAAATATATTTATTTTATCTAAAACTTCAAATATGTAGCAAGTCTCCTAAAAACCAAAAAGAGGAGGACAAAAAAGTTTTTACAGAATATGCTATGTTTTTATGAAGGTTTACCCTCTAGTGTTACTGGTAGGCTATTTAAAATATGATAGAAACAAACATTATGTTTAAAAAATGTCAAAAAAGGAAAATAAATATAAAAGTAATCTACTTTTAAAACGCTACCAAAGCATTTTTCTATATGAAAATAATGCCAAAATTCCTCGTCAAAATAATCAATGATAAAAGTGATTAGATAATATCAATTGAAATTGTCCTCTTAGTAATTAGGAGAGAAATCTTAAGGAAGTTTTTTTCCCGCCACATTTTATCCTTTTATTGGTTCTACTCTTTCCTTTGATTCATTATTCTGGAAACGATTACTGAGTGGCAGCACCAGGAATACTGAGAGCTAAAAATTAGAGAAAAAAAAACATTAAGGATAAAATTTACAACAACAAAAAATAAATAAGGGATTAGCAATAGTTTTGTTAAGGGGGGGGGGAGGGGGGGAGTTCGATTGTACTCTTAGCATCTATCATATATCGAAAGTTTCCTGATAAATTCTAAATCCAATAATAGAGGAAAATTACAATTGTTCTTATGCATTTTTATATCTCATATACAGTAAATTATCGTTCAATGTGTTTTTAAAACTCACCAGAATGAGAAACAAATAACCGATATTTTGTATTCTTACATAAATTTTACATGTGTCGATTTTATATGAACAAAATTGCATATAAGGTTAATGTTTTAGAAAGTGTTTATAAATAAACCAACATACATACAAACAGATAATTGACCCTGTTGACCGTTACTTTGGCTTTCATTTTTACCTTGTGATGCATCATTCTTATACGTATGTTAAGTCAGGGATTATAACACATATTGAAATTGACAGGCATTACAATATTGAAATATATTATTGTAAAACCATACAATTTGATTTTTTTAATTATTGCGATGTTGCTAATGTGTATCCAATAATTTTCAAAAGAAACAAACGAAGCGAATTATGACAAAGACAAGCAATTTTCATGATATTTAAGTGCGCGTTGCATTTAGTATCATAACTATATTGAAGTAAAATGTTTCTTTGCCAGTTATATTCCCTCAAAGCTCTTCTCTTAAAATGTAGGAACTTTTTTTTAAATCAGTTACTGCAGAAGAGACTAAAAAGATGAATAAATTAATAAATATATAATCAAATGAATAAATAAAAATTAATATAACGAAACATTACATGTCAGTGGAAGCATTCACTCGTAAGTGAACACAATCCGGAATACTGATATGATAGAATTTTTGGATGAAAATATTATAACTAAATTAATGAAAGAATTAACTCTCTAAATCAAGTTAGATATATGACGAAATCCCTGAAGCTTCACAGACGTGAAATTGCATAAAGATCTCTTTTTGTAATTAACATTTCCTATTCTCATTATGTACATTAGATGTTTATTTTATATGATTGACATGTCTATTGGGAACAGAAAAAATCCGATAAATTTTAATCCATTTTGCTAAGAATTCTCAGTAGCACATTTGTCTTCAGAACTAGTGCAGATGAAGATGATGTTGTTCATTTGGTGGTGGTTTACTCTTATTTGCACAGTTTCATGTGAATTGTATACAGAGAAGGACTACGCGTCAGGTGAGTACGTTTTCTGTTAATTTGTTTTGTCTAATGCATATTTATAGCGACCATTTTAAGTGATAAAAGTTGAACTACACCAGTATTCTGTATACTTTTCGGTTGAAGCTTGATCATGATAAAAAAATTGACACTTTAATGTGGCAAGAGTTTAAAAATATAAATGAACATTTCAAACTTAGCAACCTTGTTTTTTTTTTTAAATTTATCCTTGACCATGTGTCCAATTGCTTTAAGCTAGGGAGATCTAGAGCAGGAATTGACCATGTGTCAAATCCCCTGAGGTTAGAGATATCTTGAGCACTAGTAATTCAAATTTATTATAGAAAATGTTTCACCCCTTCAAATTAAATGAAATGAAAAACGACACGATAATACTATCAGTAATAATGCTCAAAAAGTCAATAAGAAATTTACAAATTAGTGAGCATATCAAACAAACTTCTGAAAACAAAGGTGGGATCTGGTGCCATGGAGGAGTTAGCATCCCCTGTCGACCAGTCATCTCGTTGTGTGCCCCTTGTCATAATGAGGTAAACGGAAAAATCCATCGACAATTTAGTAAAATAATGGCCTAACAATTTGTAGACGCCATTCAACATTTGCATTTGCAAACTAGGTCGTTGTATCGACCATTACGTTTGAGAAATGATGACTTAAACAAGATTATTAATATCAACCACTTTTTGTCCGTAGGCTGTCTGTCTTAGAAACTGTTCGTACAAAGAGCATCCTCAAGAGCGTATCGAATCTGGGAAATACATGTATAAACTCCATATGCAGGTGCTGATGGTATATTTGTACATTAATAAGAAAATTGATGTCTAAAAAAAATGTTAATAGTTAAAGACAAATACATGTACGTTGGAAAGAGGAAAAATAAAAATAAAAAATATTAAATTTCATCTTGGTTTTTTTTTTTACTTTGCCGAGAAATATAAGCAAAGCATTTGTGTCAGTTCTTATTGAAATATTTGCAATATTAAAACCAGAAATTGTTTTAAAATTGGTAAATTTGTAAAATAGGATGAAAAAATCAAAATGAAAATCACCAAGATACAATGTAAGGCAGTCTTCCCAAGAATTAAAAAATATATTTTTTAAAAAACTGGAGGGAAATATAGACTTCCTATCTATCTGTCAGTCGGTTTAACAAGCTTGGTTTTCCTTATTTTTTTCCTAGGCAATTGCATATGTTGAGCTAATTTTTTGTACATGTATGTACTTCTTTGATGAGTTAAAGCTAAACTCATTCCAGTAGGATACTAAATTTTAGCTTATTCAATATTCTCGTATACTTGTTTATAATAACTTCCTAAGCAAATATAACCACAATCATCTTGTTTTTTTATTTTATACCAATTGTTAGTCCTATGTTTATTACTAAATTTTACCACGGAATATTCTAATAATAATTCCATAATAGTGCCTGATCAATACACAGGGCTCAGGGCACGTCTGACCGGTCGACACTTACTCCTCCTAGGCACCTGATCCCACCTCTGGAATTTCCGGGTGTTATGCCTTGTTAAAAGATTTGTATTGTTTGTATGTTTTTGTTGATCGATCAGTGTTAGCTATCTAAATTCACCTTTTCATTTGCAAAATCATACATATTTTTTTTAAACTTTCAATTTGACTCTTTTAACTCCAAAGAATTTTTTTCAGTCAACTGTGATTTTGAGAATGGTACATGTGGATGGACGTGGCAAAAGAATACGGTAGCTCTCAATAAAATGACACCCATGTGTGGCAGGTGGGGTAATCTATTTAACTGTGGTAAATCATACCATGCTCAAACTGCAACTTGGTGGAAGCGAATACGAATTTCTTCAGCTGTAAAATATCTAAATTGTAAGTATTTTTATAAAAGTGAAATTCCGTAATCCCAGCTGTATTCTTGCTGAAGAGACATCATTCTATCTGTAATTACGTTTCGTCTTACATATTTGTAACACTTATTTATCAATGTAAGTTAAATTATACAGTGTAATATTGACATTTGAGATCGGAGTTAAAATTGTGCCTAGTGATTCCACTTTGTGATTGGGAGGCCCGGGTCCTCTTTCGCCGTGACGCGTCAAACCCAAGACGTGAACATGGGTAGTGACTGTTCCTTCGCCATTAGAAGTGAAAGTCAGGGGGCTTTCGGATCCGAGGTCCCGTGTCACGGTAGATGTTGGCAAGATAAAGAACCCTCACTACTCAATGGCCCTGAGTGCCAAATATAGATCTAAATTTGAAGCCCTTCATCGGTTTATATATCTCTTTTTGAGTGAAAATTCAATTTTGATATGTTGCTGCCTATAATCTAAATGTATGTCATGATCTTGACTTATAATCAAACCCTGAATGTCAAATCTTTTTACATTGTGTATGGGCTTTAACTCTAGAAGACTTGATCGAAATAAATTAAAACTTAAAACAAATTGTTATTGAGGATTCAAAGTATGTTACTGTCAAAAATCAAGGTCTTGTGTCGAAAGGAAAGATTACCAGAGATTCGTGAAATCGTAGCGTTATTCTTAAATTTTGATCTTGTCTCAAGTTCTAATATCGAGGTCAAGGTCCTCTTGTACTAATGGAAAGGGAGTCATTTGGTTTTATCCTACCAATGCATTTTTTGCAAGTAAGAGACATAATGATCGCAAACTAATTTTTTATTGCAGATTAAAAAAAAAAAACAAAAAAAAAAAACTCACTTTTAAAACACTTTGATCTCCATTTAAAACAATAATTAAGATAGCTGATGTTTCAACACCATATTGTGAAAACAATGAGATGAAATTAACTTAGTGAAATCAAACAGAACTTTAACCCTTACATACTCACATAAAAATGAACATAAAAGAAATAAAAGAAAACTAGTACTGAAATGAGTTTCATACCTTTTGCATTTTTAGATACATGTAAGTACATTTTAAGATTTGATTTCTATCTCGCAGCTCTTGTTGGACCTAAGGTTACAAAATCTACTCGAGAGATGCTTGATAGACTTGAGGATAGCTACGTTCTTCTATCGTCAGTAAATTACAGTAATACATTTATCTGGGTTCACACTATGGACGCTGTCAGTATAGAAATTCCGCTTTTAATAAAAAGCCATCGATGTCTCCATTACAGCTACTTTATATTTGGTATTCGTGCCGTCCTTGTTGTTGCCTACCTAACTAACTATCTAGAGCCATATTATCTTTGGGATTTTTTAAACGTACATGATAAGAGTCCAGAGATCAAGTTTAGCAGAGCTTCCGCGACACTTCCCCTTGGAACTAACTTTAAGGTATGGAAAAGAACTTCATTAAAGCTCTTTCAATTGAATTAGTGCGACTTCTTTGCGTTTTAGTAAACTTTTTATATCTATGAGAATATATATTCAGGGAAAACTGTTGTTACTATTCATTTTTACTAATACTTAAGAGGATTTTTAAGAAATGAAATTCAAAAATTTTCATGACCATATTACATTATTATATGTGTTTCATATTTAACAGGTGGTTTTTCGAGCATACTTTGATTTTTGGCCACGAACTACTTCTTTTGTCCTTCTCGACAATATTTCTGTAACAGAAGGAATTTGTAGTAAGTAAAAATAGGTATCATAGATTATGGACAACTTTTATCATCAATATGATCTGTAAAGATAACAAACAGTGATCATGCGCAAAAGTCTGTTTAAACAATAAAAATTGTGGGAGGAGCCAACAAAGATTTCTGAAATCAGAGGTGGGATCAGGCTCCATAAAAACATCCCCTGTCGACCGGTCACACAATGTGCTCGTTGTCATGATCGGGTAAACTTTGTGAAATGATTTATACAGAAGATTACCAAAACTAACAGTGATTTCTTCAAATGTCTGTGTTTGAGAGTTCAAGCGCATATATTTTATGCTTTTTTGTAACACTTCGTGTGGCCCCCTCTTAAATAACTTCAGTTTATAATGCACAAACACACAAAACGACGTCTGTCTACCTTTCCGTTACAAAATCTTAATTTTAATTATTTGTAAATATTTTTTTTTACATCTGCTTCCTGAATTTTTAATAAATTTGATAAATCTGAATTAAACTATTGCTTGAAGAAAGCATAACAATCCCATCCGGTCCCCTTAAAACATAAACAATTTCTTATCTACAGCCAGTTTTCATATTGTATTCTCTTTCATACAGAAGCCAAATCTTTAAACATTAATCTAAATGAAAAAGCTTTCACGATATTAATATTTCTATACTAGAGATAGAGTCGTTATGGATATCATTTGTATATTTCAGAGACATGCAGCCCTGATGAATTCAGATGCAGTGATAAACGGGATGAATGTATCCCACTAGATAAAGTTTGTGATCTGAAGTCTGACTGTCTGAAAGGAGAGGACGAGGCGCTTTGTGGTGAATATTTGAACATAGGTTTTGCTTTTTACCAATATTTTTTTTAGCAGGAACGTGTTATTTGAGGATTTGTAAATGTATCTGATACAATGATTTAATTTAACATATTTGAAAAAATTGTTTTTAAAAAATTTGGCAATGTGAAACTGAAGAGTAGTTTTCCTTAACTTTTGAGTAGATCTGAGTATATTAGGTGAAATGCGTAACAGTACTAAAGTAGGTTGCTTATGTGTGAACTTGAAGATATTTTACAATAGTAATTATAAATCATTGTCCAAGCATAAGAAGACATCCTCTTCCACTGCATTTTTGAGAACTTTATCTCAATCTCTTGTGAGCAACTGAAACCAAACTTTCTATTTTTTCTGTTCATATTTCTCTTCCAAGATTTCTACATTTGAGTTTTCTAATGAATACAAATATAATGTAAAATGTTTTTAATTTCAGAGAAGAATATCAGTAAATCCCTATGCAGACAAGACCAGGCATTGTCTTTCCAGAATTTATCCAGACGGTCTGAGGTGGAACAGACACAATATGCCCCTGATGCAAATATTTGCATTGATTGGAAACAATGCCTCTTCAATTCATCGGGCACCTGTTTTCTATATTGCCCTGTAAATTGTTCCTGTATTGATTTATCTGTTAATTGTTCGTCTGCAAATGCCCCGATCTATTCTACCTCTATATCTTTTAATGGTTTACTGCATGAAAATCTAGTTATAAGTGAGAGTCTGTTTCCTAACCTCAAACGAATTGTCATTACAAATTCTACAATTGATTCATTTAATATTAGCAAAAAACATATAGAAACAATGATTATCCAAAACAGTAAGATTAATAACGTTTTCTTTCATAAAAATTCCTTCCGGTACATTAATATCAACAAATCTTCATTTGAAAACATGTACTTTTTTCATTATTATAAAAGGTATATCTTTGATGTATTAGAATTCTACGTATACAAAAGTTATTTGAATAACACATTTGATTTCTTTGTTCCATATTATTTATGGAATAATTTTACATTCGAATCCCATGTTCAAACAAGTTTATTGAATAATACGTACTCTAAAATATATGAGGGAAAGGGTGTTCATATAAAAATTGTGGAAACACATGGATTTCATAAGATATTCGAGAAACTTAGTTATACTGTTGTTAATTTTAGTAATAGTTATCTGACTGATCAGCCAGCTTCATACTATGAAACATTTACACTTGATTTAAGCCACAATCGTTTAACAGCATGGCATATTCTGTCTTTAATTCAAATTTTACATCTTCAGCATAATTTGATAGTCTCTATAAATTACACCATTGACCTTGGGTTATCCGATGCTCAACTTCATTATCTTGATTTATCGTATAATAAGATTGAAAGAATAGTCAATGATGATTTAGCTGTATTAAACAACCTTATGTATCTTAAACTACAACATAACTTTATAAGTTATGTTCATCCAAGAGCATTTTTAAAATTAACTGAGCTTATATATTTAGATTTATCAAATAATGAACTTAGTGATTTGGAACGCAGTCATTTTATTCATCTCTTAAATCTTCGCTATCTTTATCTTCAAAACAATAAACTAAGGGTAATAGAAGGAATGTTTGATGGTCTCATGAATATTCAGTATCTGCAGGTCGATTCCTACACCCTTTGTTGTGCACAACCAAAGGCTGTCAGTAAAATTCAGTGTTTGGCACCCGTGAACGAAATCTCCTCCTGCAACGATTTAATAGACACCCCTCTCCTAAGTATAGCAATATGGTACATGGCCCTTCTAGCTGTCTTTGGAAATTTATTTGGAACATGCCATAAATTGCTCTTGCTGAATAAGAATTCAAGTACAAGTAAACCGTTTGATATTCTTTCTATAAATCTTGGTTTCGCTGACTTTCTGATGGGTGTGTATCTTTACATCATAGCGGGAGCTAACTTGAAATTCAGCGATCGCTATGGTTTTGAAGATTTCTCGTGGAGAAATAGTCCTTTATGTACTTTTGCTGGTGTTTTAGCTACTCTTTCTAGTGAGGCTTCCGCTCTTTTTGTACTTTTTATCACCATTGACAGAATGTTGGCCATTCGATTTCCATTTGCGATGCTAAATAAGAAAATTAAGATTGCAAAGACCGTTTCCATGTTAGTATGGACAGTTTCTTTCCTGCTGTCATTGCTTCCCTTATTTGGGATTGAGTACTTTGATGGTTATTACTCCGGTTCTGGAGTGTGTATCTCTTTACCTCTATCAGTTCTTCGGAAACCTGGATGGGAATATTCTATGGTACTCTTCGTGGGGGCAAACTTTGTCATCTTCATCATTGTTCTTCTTGGGCAAATTTTCATATTAACGGATGTTGCTCGGTTTGAAAAGAAATCGTGCCAACAATCGTTTTCCCAAAAACGAACAGAAATAAAACTAGCAAAATCCCTAATGGCTGTTGCAGTTACAGATGTGCTGTGTTGGATTACGATTGGGACTATAGGTAAGAAAAAATATATTTTTATACAGGTAAAATAACAACATTCATATACATTCATTTACCATATAAAAATAGTAACATATGGCGTTTAACAGTTTGTTTAACGTATATTTATAGACTTCGCCAGTATGGCCAAATTTAATTACTTGATTTTAAAAAAAAAATCATACATTTTTTTTTTAATTTAAAAAGGTATGTTCACAATTTGGTATAAATAATAATTTGTTTGTTTGTTATTATTGTTTAACGTCCCTCTCGAGAATTTTTCACTCATATGAAGACGCCACCACTTGCCGGTGGAGAGCTTCAAATTTTGACCGATACTCGGCACTCAGGGCCATTGAGCAGTAAGGTATCTTTTTCGTGCCAGCACCTACTGCGACACGGGACCTCGGTTTATACGGTCTCATCCGAAGGACCGGTCTCCACGTCCCACAGTGGGATTCGAACCCGCGACGTAAGGATTAACTCCATACTCCGCGACTCTAGAGCGAACGATCTAACCACTGCGCCACGCGGGCGACGTATAAATTAAAAGGGAAAAAAATTAAAAAATTATTTCAAGACAATTTGAATTTTTTTTGCTATCATCAAAATTGATGAGGTGGAAGCGCTGAAATGGACTCTAATTCCTCATTATCTCTTTTTTCTTTATTTCATTTTAATTTTTAAAAAAATGATTCATCTAACTTGTAGGGTTTCTGACATTTATGGGAATTGATGTCACGAATAAGGTGTACGCTTGGGTAATTGTCGTAGTTCTCCCTATAAACTCGGCACTTAATCCCCTTATCTACCTGTTGTCTGTGATATTGAACCGTGGTGATGAAGAGGTATGTAGTTCTAAAACTGATAAACAGGTACAATGTTCTAAATATAGTCATTGTCGTAGTTCTCCCTGTAAATCTTATCTACTTGCTGGTTGTGATTTTGAACCGTAATGATGAATTACAGATATGTTCTAAAAGAATGCTTTTCCGTCTCCATTGAACATGTATTTCCATTTTTTTTTTTTTTTTTTTTTTTTTTTTTGATAAATAAATAAACATTTTTACAGAAGTCTTCATTGACATCAAGCTTTACAAGTAACACGAAAACACAGGGCGGAATGATCAAGTATCAGGTATTTCCTTTTTTATTTTTTAAATGTTTGCAGTTGTTTTCACTGAATGTCTTTTCAAGCATTGATATTCTTGTCTCTTTTTTCTCAGGTATCACAATCAGGTGGAAAAAGAACCAATTTTGTTAAACCATGGATCCAAAATGCTGAAAAACAAAGGAAATCGAACATACAAATCATTTCTTTGCAACGTTTAAAAGTCGAATAAGTTTTTCTTTCCTTGACTATTCTTAAATAAAAAAAAGTGTTTTCGTTTAGTAAGATGATATGATCCGTTCTTTGATTATGTTTTGATGGGAAAAAAACCCAATTATTTTGTTCTTGTTTTATATAGAAGAAATAAAGAAGAAAATAATTCTGTATATACTACAATATTTGTCAATTATACATGTACATGTAATTCACGATCTCACTAGAAGGTCTTGGCATTTTCATGTCCCCGTAATTAAAGATTCGGGGTATTAAGTTTTTGCCCTATCCGTCCGTCTGACTGTCTGCTTGCCGGCTTGTCCGCAAAACTTTAACCTTGCTTATAACTTTTGATTGGTTGGAGCTATGTCTTTCATATTTCACATATGTATTCCTTTTGACAAGACCTTTTTTTGAATACCAACGTGTTTGACCTCTTGACCTTTGAGTTTGACCCACTATTAAAAAAAACAAGCTGTGTTTGTGACTGATGCCTTTGTATGATAGCTTATGGAGAAGGTTAAAGTTTCTTAAATGCAAGTCAATCTCCAAGGTCAAGAGAAAATGTTGTTACCCAAAGAAAGGACTTGTCTCAATGAATATACCTGTGAAATATGATATCCGAAACACCAGCCAATCAAAAGTTATGCCCAAGGTTAAACTTTTTTTAAAAAATGGGTCAAACTCCAAGGTAAATGTCAAAGGGTCAAATTAATGCTAACTAGGGGAAGGCATTGTCATAAGAAATATACAGGTGAAATGTAAATGCCCTTGCACCAATCATTCAAACGCCAAGATTAAAGTTTTTCAGATGTAAGACAAACTCCAAGGTCAAGGTTAAAAGATCAAAATTGTTGGTATCCAAAGGAAGGTCTTGTCACAAGAAATTCACCTGTGATATTGAATTCTCCTTTAATAACTGTTGAAAAGTTATGGCCAATGTTTAAGTATTTTAAATTTTTGTAAGATGGGGTCAAAATCCACTGTCAAGAGGTTAGATATGTTTGTATCCAAAGAAATGTCAACAAGGAATACACATGTGAAATATGAAAGCATGACGTCAGCACACAAATACACAAACAAACTATCACATGAACAAATCATGTGTGGTAATGCTGTCAATTTTTTTCTCATATAAGCATAAAGGCCACTTTCGACAGTTGTTTTCCTTATCAGTAAATAAATGTTACATCATTCTGTTGTTTTCTGTGCCTTTTCACCGGATTCTCATGTTTTTGCGAAAACTCCACAAGTGTTTTACGTGTTAATTGAAACCGATTGGAATTTTGTGTATTTGTGTGCAGACGTCATGCGCAAAGAAATCGAATGGCGAGGAGGCGACCTAATTCAAGTGATGCTTCATTGGTCGGTGATAGGGCTCTTTAAATGGCGATAGCATCATATTAGTGATGAAAAGGTCGTAGAAGAATCATCCCTTTACTGAGTTCTCGCGTCTCGGAAGTTAGATCCGCGAAATAAAGTTGTAAAAGGTAGGCAGAGTCGCGACACCAGCTGGTGTTGCTGAATTCCCACTTTTCAATATGGCCTCCGCTCTGACTCTCCCCTGCACATGTCAAAATATAAAAGCAGGGGTTAGAGTCAGAGGAATCTCGGATTACAACAACTGTTCAGAAGTGATGGTCAAGGTTAAAGTTTTTTGCGGACAAACGGACAGACAGGGCAAAAAACTATATAACCCCCGAATCTTCGATTACGGGGCATAAAAATAACAAACATTTACCTTGGCAATAAATTTTGAACATTTAGATCTAGGGCTTTCATTCTTCATACGTTTCATACGTTAATGTGTACTCATTGTGACAAGACCTTCCCTTGGGTATGAAGATGTTTGTCTTATTGACCTTGACCACAACGTTTGGCCATTTTTTAAATAAACTTTTACTTTGGTCTTAACTTTTTGACAGTTGATTCTAGGGCTTTTATGTTTCTTGTGACAAGATCTTCCTTTGGAAGAGTGTTAGAACCAAAAATTTTGACCTTTCGACCTTATCCCTGGAGTTAAACCTACTTTTAAAAATTTTTAACTTGGCCATAACTTTCTAATGATTGGTGCAAGGGCATTTATATTTTACCAGTGTATTTCTTTCACAAGAACTTCCCGTCGCCCGCGTGGCGTAGTGGATAGAGCGTCTGATCTACAGTCGCGGAGTAAGGAGTTGATCCTTACGTCGCGGGTTTGAATCCCACTGTGGGAAGTGGAGACCGGTCCTTCGGATGAGATCGTATAAACCGAGGTCCCGTGTCGCAGTAGGTGCTGGCACGAAAAAGATCCCTCACTGCTCAATGGTCGTAAGTGCCGAGTATAGGACAAAATTTGAAGCTCTCCACCGGCAAGTGGTAGCGTCTCCATATGAGTGAAAAATTCTCGAGAGGGACGTTAAACAACAAACACAAGAACTTCCCTTGTGTATCATTAATTTTTACTCTTTGACATTGACCTTTAAGTTTGACCCACTTTTGAATAACTTTAACATTGCCCATAACTTTTGAACGGTTATTGCTCGGATCTTTATATTCCACAGGCATGTTCATTGAGACAAGTCCTTTCTATGAATTGGGTAATAACATTTTGATCTCTTTACCTTGGAGTTTGATTTGCATTATTTTGAGAAACTTTAACTTTCGTAATAAGCTGTCATACGGGGAGATCAGTGTTATACTGACTCATCTTGTTTGCTTTTGTGCTTGTGTATGTGTATATATATTAGGGATGGCAATCGAATACAGAATTGCTAATCGGTTAACCGAAAGACGTTCCGACCGATTAATCGGTTAATCGTATCAAAATACACATTTTCCATATATTTTATTTTTCAAGTAAACTCTTAGTTGTATACACAAGAAAACTGAAAAAGGCGTTAACGTTTATTAGTACGCTATATATTATATATTATTTCAATTTCGAATGGCAAGAAAAAAAGGAGACCATAAAACATCTCTTAAATATCGCAGAAATTTATATTGTTACAACACAAGGTCATTGTGCATTGTTACCATAAACAGAAACCGAGTCTGAAATAATTTACAATGTTTGAAAATTTAATTTGATAGATAACTGCGAAGGATAGACGGGGTAAGATACACATTGCAATCATTTCAATCATTAAACAGAACTCAACAAAGATTTAATTAATATCATAATTAGGACAGGCAGGGTAACAACATGGTATTTAAACAGCAATTAACACTTCGCAAAGTGACCAATTACCCCCAACAAATTCAATATTGAGAGTCTTAATTAAATTATTTACCTCCAAATCCGCCGAATTAAATGCGGAAACGTTATAACTTATCAATATTCAGGGTTTTTTAACATTGTAAATCGTGTTTTAAGGAAATTTAAACCCATTTTAATTTTTTTTCCGACTAACCGATTACAGATTTTCTAACCGATTACCATAGTTCCGACCGAGTAACCGGTTAACCGGTTACAAATTGCCATCCCTAACATATATATTTATCAATACACGATTTAACTTGTTCTTTTTTTCTTTTTGTGCATGTCTACAAGCCCTAGGAAGCCCATTTAGGACCTATCAAAAATATTTTTGAATTCAATATGACGAATTGTCGAATTTGTTATGATGAATTTAATTCGTTAACAGTTTCTTTGAATTCAATATAATGAATTTAATCTAGATCTGTTAAAACAAATTTGTCGAATTCGTTATAACGAATTCAAAAATGTGTTATAACGAATTAAATTCGTTATAACGAATTCTCTAATTTGTTAAAACGAATTCGATAAATCGTTATATCGAATTCATATATATTTTCTATGGTCCTGATTGTTGAATTTGATTTAACGAATTTAATTCGTTATAACAGATTAGGTATAACGAATTCAAAGAAATTGTTATAATGAATTAAATTCATAATAACAAATTCGACAATTTGTTATATCGAATTCAAAAATATTTTTGATAGGTCTTAAATGGGCTTTCGTAGGAAGGTCAAAAGATCAAAATTGTTGGTATCCAAAGGAAGGTCTTTTCACAAGAAATATACCCTTGAAACATGAAGGCTCTAGTACTAACTGTTCAAAAGTTATGGCCAAGGTTAAATAATTTTTAATTTTTGCAAAAGTGTGTCAAACCCCAATGTCCAGAGGTCAAATTGGTACCCAAAGAAATGTCTTGTCACAGGAATAAACATGTCAAATATGAAAGCCATAGCACAACTGTTCAAAAGTTATGGTCAAGAATAAAGTTTTTGCGGACAAACAGACAAACAGATAGACAGACGGACGGACAGGGCAAAAACTATATACCCCCGAATCGTTGATTACGGGGGCATAATAAAGGTCGTGTTTGGCATGTGCTTCTTCTCTTATTTCTACAAAGAATTTGTCTTTAATTAAATCTTCAGATAAATTGTAAGAATTTTTTAAAGAAAAGTTCAACATGATTTACATTTACACTAACAAGAGAGTTTACCGTTAGTCACTCTAAGGTTAACACTTGCTGGTCTATGAACGACTCTAAAATCTTATATAGTATACAAGCTTGCTGTTGCCTTCGTTTGCCAATAATAACAGACCACATTCAGAATTTATTCCTATTTTTTATCGAGAATGTTTAAAAGATCTCAAGGTTTTTCTAAATATAGGGA